CGATGGATGGAAGGAACAATTTGAAAGTTTTCAAGAAAGAAATTAATGAGAGTAAGAAGCAAAAAGAGTCAAGAAAATAATTTCTAATGTATAAAAAAGGATTTTTTTTAGGAAATGCTTCAGATTCTCGCTAATATTCCATAAAAAGGCTTTTTCCACCGCTCAAAGCTATTCAGTTAATGACCCGGAAACTCCGAAACAACATAGAAAATGGTTTAAACAGCAATGCAACAGGTTTGCTCCAACATATAAGAAAGGCGGGGAGGCAAAGAAACGAGAGAAGGCGGGTTTTTACCTTTTATGTAAATCGCTAACAAGCGTTTGGAAACGAGTTCGTTCGCCGAGAATTGGTGAAAGCTGGAAAATATAGCATGTTGATGTTCAAGCAATTTTTCTTATATTCTTTTTGTAAAATTAAAGGAGAAAAACCTGTGTGAGAGCGGTTAAAACTCGACGATGCCCATCATCTGGGACAAAACAAAGCCCAGATAATATTTCTACTGCGACTATCTAAAACTTTTATTTTTACATTTAGATAGATTGTTTCTTAAAAAGGACAAAGATGAAGTGAAGAGCCATACCTTGCACTTGCACTCGTTGATATCAATAGTTCGGGCGATTGCTAATAGAGCGTCCTGATCCTGCAGTACAGCAGCACGTCCTTTCTGGAAAAGGATGTTGCATTCCAATAATGAGGGAAATAAGTCTAATTCAATTGCAAAGAGATTTGTAGGCCTACACGGAACCCGTATTTCAAAATTTTAAACCTTATTCAAATCGAATCGGCTAATTATACCATGGTAAAAATCTTCTAGGAAGAGCATCGAAATTTGCAAATAGATTTAATTTTCGAACGAAGAACATCACGTTTTTATTAAGTTGGTCCGAAAGTTCTGCACAATTCATACTTATTCAAATAATTATAAATTTATTGCCTATAGATATCAATCAACGAAATAATGTTTATCGTGATCCACTACGTATGGCTAATGCTTCAATGGATTATGAATTTTTGAAATCCGCATTCCAAGCTTCAAATCAAATAAAATCCCCAAATCTTCCGTGATTTCTCTAGCCATCAAGTAACCTTTTTTATCGCCTTCAATTCTCAAGATATAAAATTGGAAAACTAACTTTGTTGACCAGATTGTATGAAAAGTCACACAGTCGATGATAAGTTTGGAAGATGTTCATAATCTCTAACACCAACATTTCACTTTCTCACACTCACAGTTCAAATTTTTACAGGTAATGGGAGAAAATTGTGATTGGAAATAATCAGATGGAAAATTCCCAAATTTGCAAATTTCTTGCAAGTTGAAAAGCTTCGCTGATTAGAATTAGTGGCTGAGAAAATATTAAGGTTCAATGTCCAAGGAGTTCCACAAACTTTAGCCCAATTGAATCATTGTAAACCTGCCAAAATTCTCAATGAAAGGCAGGGTTATTTAATTGCAATTATTACTTCATTTCACATCACAGCGCTTAATTACATCTTTACTCATTCCAGAACTTCCATAGACTTAGTAGAATCCTGTGAGCAACCACTTTCACTTTCTATGAGCTTTCCGTTTCCATTTAACTTTGAACCTCTCAATTCTAAACTCCTATCATAAAGCCATACATAGACCAGAACCCGTTTCAACCACAAGCAAAAGAGTTCAAATTTTCTCACTTTCATTTAATTCATCTAATTTCTAGCCATGGAAGGTATAGATTACATAAGATATGATGGGTTGCCAACAGGTGGTACAAGAAATAGAATGTAAATAAGATTATATTACCACTGTTTACATATCATTAAGAGATGAAAACTGCATGCAAAAGGTTTGAACGGTTTTAGAGAAATGCTAGAGATACAATCCTGGATAGGATAAATTGCAGTAAGGCATCTTAGAAATTCAATCAAGCTATAAGCAGAAAATTCCCAGAGAAGAGATAATGGACAGTTACTAAGCATTTCCCTATTCAAGATAGCTTATAGGGAATTTCAATAAAAATCAATTAAATTTTGGGGCTTACTATCAGGAAAACCCGCAAACGCTCAAATTATCTTAAAATTTTGTAAATTGACTGCTCCAAATCTTCAATGCTTTAATTCCCCCCCC